CGCGAAATGAAAATACAGTTTCTAGATTGTACGCAAATGCGTTGTTTTAACTTGTTTGTTTTCGAGATTATTATTTATATCCCTAAAGAGGGAATCAGGCCTTCAGGAAATATGCCAAAATGCAAACTTCTGGAATATTAACTTGATGRTTATTTTGCACGCAAGATACTAATCAAGTTACTATTGAGACATCACTATTTTTACACGAAAACACCGGCGGTGATCCGTGGTGTTGATATTCTCAGGGTCTCTCAGTGCTGTTGATGTATTTTAGCGCAGGTTTTGTAGGGTTGTACCACCTAATCTAAGGCAACAATAGAGCGGAACAACATTCCATTCCCCAGAAACGAAAGCGCATGACCAACATCTGCAAAAAATAGGTTGGATAGCTTAACGCAAAAGCGAAATATCGTGTTAATTAAGAGCCCAATAGTCTAAAGGTTATAGAGTTCTAATCGTAGCTACTAAACATGAAATATTTCAAGTGAAACCGTTTYTATTTGTGAAGACAAGAAAGTCAACATGAGCACTTTGTCAATAAAATATCTCGCAGCGAGGACCACGGGGAGATGTTTGTTCATGTTTTTATAATGTCTCTCATATCACAATCTAATGGAAAACATGATATCTTATCACTGGACTCATTTGTCTTATCTACATGGTTCATTCGAAGGATTAACGTTTAACTCGAGGAAAGAATGAAACTCGAGCCCTTTAGGACACTGATTTGCCTTGTTGCCCTTATCCAGTCAAACCACGTAATGTAATGCACAGTAAGACACGCATATCTTGAAAGAAAAACAATAAGCGTTTCATTAATCCCAAGTAGGCTTTCCTCTCCCATTTTTCCGCTTTGACTTCGTGGCATATTGTAATGCTCGACTTTCTAACTCAGCTCTTCCTCGCCTTAGCTGACATCGTGATCTTATTAAGCGAGCTTCTTTCATTTGTACACATAAAGTTCTTAATCTTGACATCATAGGTTATGTATATGCTACATATGATTCCATGCAGTACTGACATTCGGTATTTGAGGTCTCGATTCTTTTGTTATTGTCCCGTGCAATATGTTTTTGTTCCACCCTTGCGAAACAATCGACAATCTAATTCTTGCGAGTATAATCTCCTTGTGCTAAAGGCCATGCCCTTTGACAATCAGTCCTGGAACGACATGGTTATAGTATCCTCCCACGGTCGTTCTGTCAACATGCTGTTCATAACCACTCGTAACAGTAGTCTGTTTTCACGACTGATATACGGTACTTATGGGTAACCGAACTCTTGTGAGAATCTAACGGCATGGTACCTACGACTCGATAACGGAAATATCCTAAGAACTCTTAATTTGATGCACTCGTATTACGGAATGCGTCATGCCCTCAGACCGACTTAGTCTACATGCTCGATAGGTGATCGCTAAAAAGATCGTTAAAATGATCGCTAAAATGATCAATCATTTTCAATAACAGCATGCACCTTAAGAACAAAATGGCGCAAATTGCTTAAAATCAACTGTAAATGCCGATAGACAGAATTTCATGATGAATTAAACATCAGCAAGGATCAAACCGACCAGCTTATGAAGATGTAGTGCGAATTTGATAGTAACATAGTAGTTATGTAACTGTGATAAAACTGAGTCCGTTTTGGTGAATTTGACGTCAAATGACGTCATGATCAACGGGATATTGCTGTACAAAAACATCTTAATAGATTGAATTAGACGGAATTAAGCTCAACCTTCCCGATAACCATGAGATCGTCGTCTTGTTCATATTTTGCCTTGCACGTTCCCTTGCCATCTATATAACTAAAACTACCAGCCCAATGGTGACAACCTTTGCATAGTTGATTCGCATCACTTGAACATCACTAGACGATAGTTGTTTTTCTCACAGTATGTCAAATAGAAACTACTTTTCTATAATTAAATTAACAACATGCTCTTCTACGCAGCAAGGATGGCACTGTTCTTGTAAAGAAGAAGTGGCTAATAAAATAATCTAATCCTCTAGCAGGGCAACAGAGCAGGAGGCAGTTGATGACGCGGTTATACTTGCTGCGACTTAAGTAACTCGTGACATTGGACTTTGGACAAGAAAGAACAGAGAAGAAAGAAATATGAAAAAAAACCTTGGTGAATAGTTAATCCGGAAACTGTTTAGTAATCAGAAACAGGAGGGATAAAACCAAAACTGTAGGGATGTTTTTTCCCATTCTTGTAAGTTTTCTTGTAAGTTTTCTTGTAAGTTTTCTTTGCTGTCACTTTTGCGCTTTCTACTGAATTGACAATGGGACGAAACGTCTGCTGAAAATTATGAATGTGAAATGAAGAGGAAATAAAATAAGCGGACTAAACGGTTAACTCCCACACGAAACATCAAAAACAGTTGCGTATTCTTTCTGACTTTAGGTCGACCTTATGTCAGCAATATCTCAAATTTATCGCCTACAAAAACAATATGTAATTTCAGTGAGAGTAAAACTCCTCAACATAAGTGTTTTGACTGGCAACTACTGGGCCAACTCTACGTCTTTCATACGGGAAATGGACCAGACGAATATGATATACAAGCGCGCTCTATTTAATTAGTAGACTGCTGGATTCCATCCCTGCCCCTGCCTGCACAGAGCACAACCGGGTYATTATTTATGCGAATCTCCAACTCACTAAGAGTTTTCTTGGATATTTCTTGATATTTTRCCAGGAAATAATAAATATCAAGTAGATTTGATATGGAGAGTTCGTTAAAGTGCTGAAAGGAAGTTTTTTAAGTAAAATCAGTTTCAGCCACGAAGTGGGAGTACTACGTAGGGACAACTCTAACAAGACCTTGGCTTGGAAGGGCGTTACTATCAGTTGATATATTATTCCATCGGGAGATTACACACCATTGTTTAAAACTTTTTACTCTTGGAGTTTTATTAAGTATGTGCCTTCRAGCAAAGTCTATATCACGAAACCTGGGTAACTTGGCAACTGCGATGTTTAGTCCTCCCTTTGAGTAGTAACTGTAAAAAATATTCGCAGGCTCAGCTTTAGTCTCCTAGATTATATTGCAGTAAAAGCCTTCTCTTTCAAAAAGGTTTTCTTTTGCATCATATAAATTATGATTTTTGCAGCGAATCTTCTAGATACTGCTTATAGTTGGTGTTCATTGGGGCATTTAAGTCACAACCGCAGCCCACGTGGATGGGAGGGATTACGTTTTTTAAAATAACCTTACGTAATTCATTAGAAAAGTGTGCTTTCATTAGAGATGAAGGATTCTTTTACGTACATATCATATCTTATGTTTCTTGTTGAATTCTTTGGAGGCAGTGGGTTTGGGCAAGTCTATTAATAAGGGCGGCGAGCGGAAGTTGTGAAACTCCACGCGATTCAAGGCGGCTAAATACTTTTAGTGACTAACTATACTATGCATATCAATTCTCCTCTCGAACAAACTTATCTGAATGGACTTTGATAAACTGCCTGAGATACAATAAGATAGAGTCGGGTCAACGGTCTAGTATAGTCCATATAATCGCCAACGTAGGCGTYCAACGTGGTCACTTTTAACAGTTGGATCTAATATCCAGTAAAAACGTGTATTATAAGTGGGTGACCGTCTGGAATTGGAGCTCTAGATTATCAAGTTACGAAATCTTGTAATCTCTATGGCTTAATAGAAGGCCTTGATGTCTGATTTGTAGTGTGGAATGCACAGGTACATTTAAAGTCACATGCATTTAAGTAAAAACAAGAGATAACAAACAATGACAATGATTATAAAACAATATACTTAACTCACAATAACTCGAATAAGTACAATGCGAAAGTTGATGAAAGTAAAATCGTTCATAATCCTTTTTTAGCAATGCGTTTTTTGTAAAATCACGAAATCGTTCAGACATTGTGATAAAAGTGAGTAAAAACATCCCATTTATTGCTGTTAAGCTTTCTCCTTGTTCTGTATTGGAATGCGTGGTCCAGTGAAACTACAGCAAGTTCGATCTTATAGACCTTGTATCATTTTGCTAAGAGAAACTATCAAGTGCTATCATACTGTTTTCCACACTTGGCCGAGCTCAGCTGACTTGAGACACGTGAAATGTCAATGTTCGCTGCAGGAATCTAAGTGTTTTTCTGTTCTCCACAGTCTTCTTGCTTACTGGAAAGGAACAGCAGCTACGCTTCAACAATTCCGCCAGGTGTAATTGAAAATAAACTAATACTATAGAACAGACACAACCAGCTGTAAGTTTAACAGGTTTTTATCAAAATAAGCTTTGAGTAAATTCCATCGTCCTTTGGGGTTACCATGTTGACAGCTTTCAAGATTGATTTTTTTTAGTTGACATCAACATAAGAAAAGAAAGTTACAATGTGTAAGACTGCATGATGTTCATTTAAATTGATATAAAGAGACTTCTAGATTTAGTATGAGTGCAATCTTTTGGTGAAAATTCTCAGTACGCTGCTTGCTTTGTGCAAAGTTGCAGGTGCTACTAGTAACTTTTCGCTGTTTGTGTCACGGTTTTAATCTGATTCATGTTTTTTTTAGCCCCCTTTCCTACCGGAGACTCCCGCTAAACTCATGAAAGCACAAAAACGCAATTAGTTATCAGGGAAATCTGTGAACAAAGGCAACGTGAAAGATACCAGTGACCTCTGTACAATATTATGTGTCTTTTCATCGTCCGCAAGACAAAAACGCTTCCATGTTTTTAAATAGATTAAATTAGTTGTTTGCCGTCTTGACTATTGTTTAGCGCTGTTTAAGTTCTTGCAAATGTGTTTCATGAATCGGTTCCATGCAGAGATCAATCTATTTACTCTCTTTTACTTCTACCCGACTGACCACAAGACCTGTCTGGTGCTCATATTCATTTAAACCTTTTTTAACAAGTATTTTAATTTCTTGATCAACAAGGACCTCGTACAGTTCAAATCATTTCGTTTCTCGTGCAGGTTGTGTTAATAATGGACCACCATGATGCATTGAGAAGACTGAGTATTAGTATATGTCTACTGTAATATCATACATCAACAACTAGTCATTCACAAGTACATATATGATTTTCTAGGTGTATTAAAAGTAGTTCCTCGTATACATTGCTTAAAATTCCTTTGTTATTAGACAGCATAATGTTCAATGAAAACGGCTACAGATTATTCAAAACTAAATCTAACGTAAAAGTAAGTGAAGGTAAAGGCTGTCCTATCATCGATAATAGAGATGCTGTAGTGCATTAAGGCTTGGGTTTTTCTAGAGTACTACTTAATGAAGGCGGTGATTCCAATTAGTTAATACAAGCAATTGAGAAGCTATACTCTGGAAGCTCATCTCCCAGGAAGATTTTGTACCAACAGTGATAAAGAATACATTCACATAAACACTGATAGAAACAAGCAAGTTTTATAAGTACATTTACAATCAGATTCGGCAAGTACCTGGCATAAAACACCAAAGCCGCATTATGCACAAGAGAGATACTTTTCCTGGACTATACTGTGTTGCAATGTCTTCAGTGATGCATGCATGCCGATGGTGGTCAAAGATTGCCGCTCTAGCGTCACTTCTGACATGCAGGTGAGGATGCATTGTTCTGCAGTGACATTGCCTACGCAGCTTTGTAATGATAACAATTCAACCAAAAGATAAAATTTGCATAAGGACAACAAGCATGGTGCCGAAAGCAATCGTAATCACCAATGCAAGTCGGACAAACTTGCATCGGCAAAGAGCAACGCTGAAGCTTTGTGTTTTGTGATTAGCAGGCAATTAGTCTTTGTTAAAATATGGCATAGACAAACCTAGTCACAACACAGCAACAAAGACAAATTTATACAAACAAATAAATAACGAAGCTGGAAAAGTGCACAATTTCAATGACTGATTTTTTGGAGACTTTTTTTACCAACTGCCATATCCTTTGATAAATATGTTGTTTGTCACTATTAGAATGGCTCGCGTTGTATCAGTAAGTCGTGAATCTTTGAAGTCAAGGTGTAAAAGTCTAGACACAATAGACAATAAGAAAGGTAGTGAGTTCAAAGGTGCATTTATAAGTTGTTCTAAAATTTCTTTTTTTACAACAACACATTGTAAATACTGAGTGATATAAGTATAGTTATAAAGTACTCCMTACCGACTCCTCCCTAGCCACCCCTACCGATGACTCGTCCAGTCAAAACGAGTTAAGTAGTTTGGCGGTTTAGTCCTTTTTTTCTGATTTGCTTGATGAGTTTCAGTGATCTCGAAGCTTGTTCCAGAGACAAGATTGAAATGAAGAAAGCCAAGTTCAGACGGACATGAAAAAATAGTCTTGGCACGATCCGCTTTCACCTTTCGATTCCCAGTTTTGTTTGATTCTGCGCCTTTTATGGAAAAGGCTTCCGTTTAATAACGAAAGAACCATCCTCTAACCTTACTTGAAGTCAAGAATCATTAAATTATAACAACATCACGGTATAAATAACCCCTAGAAATCATTCATTTTAGTTGGCGTGTCAGATTCCTATTTTGTGTCAACAAAGACTGACACGAGAAGCCATGAGAGAAAAAAAACCTCTGCGAAAAAATCAAGGAAAAAAATAAGACACTTAAAAATTAGTTGGAGCATTGAATTTCACATTGCCATCGGCAATATTGATGTTGTTGTTTTTTTAAGGGATCACTRAACACTGCAATATTTCTGAAATTAAGATATAATTTAGAGAAGAAAAGAACAAACTAGATTGCATTATCTAGTGGGATGTAATTATTGTAATATCATGGTATATGGTAGCATGGTCTTGCTAATGAATAACCGGCATCCTACGTCACTATTTAATGCTGTTCTGTTTTTGTCTTCTTAGTCCCTAGTGTATTTACTTACAGAAATTGCACAATACACCATGTGCAACTAAAGAAATACTAGAAATTTCAATCTCGACATCGATACTGTTTTCAATTTGTGAKCATGATATTTTACGATTTCGCTTCTTTGATCACATCGGCATTTTTCCCAGAAAGGATGTACTATTTATAGATGAGTTCGACACTTGTTGACATAACAAAATTAATTCTTATATCTCACAATAAATAAAATGGCTGTATCTCACGTACATTWAACGTTATTATACCCTATATACACAATCATTTAGTATTTTATACGTATCGTTGGTAACTGAAGGTATGAGAGTGTAATATACTATTTGTGTATGATATACATGTACATATACATATTTATGGCTGTGTACTGTGTTATACTGTCAGTTCACTGCTTTGGTTAGGTGAATAAAGGACGAATCGCCCTCGTGAGGGGTCAATATTTGATTTTCTAGATAMTCAATGGTTTCACGCTATGGATTTCACTATTATCATTCACACCGACTCTAGTCAGCGGGAACTTCCTAATAACGGTGAGATATGAAATAAACGATGGACAGTCCATACTCCATGTAATTCGATAAGTACTTGGTCTAATTACTGCTACGCATGAGTGGGTTTGAGTTTAGGCATGCTAGGAATGCAGCTTGGAGCTCCGCCCCAAGTTAATCATCCGAAGATTGCCTTTAACATTATATATATGAATAGTGGCCACGTTGGGTATATAATTAGTGAATCCATTATGTCAATGGCTTCAGCTTCACTTGAGAACCTACTAGATTCATCCACATAGCTATACATATGAACTTTCAAGTTTCGATATTTAGGTTTAGGGCGATCGTAGAAATAGATGATGTGTCCTTGACAGTGATTGACAGGTCTTCACGAATCATTTGCATTTTGATAAGTCGATACCGACGGGCTGTGATTGGTCAATCCGTGACTCAGGAACCATGTCAATGCGGTTGCCTAGCGAAAACTCAAAATCTACCCAGCAACCATAAGCAATGGCCGTGTATGCTGATGGACTGACTGTCAGTGATTATATACAGACAACCTTAGTAGATTACATTCTCTTGCGAGCTCATTCCACCAGTACGCAGCGCCGGGGTACGTGGCCACACACAAACAMAATTCACATCAAGTCCGTTGGAAGAGGAAATATTGTGTGAAGCAAGTTTATGCCAACCCCGGCGCAAAGCTCACATATTCTCACATTTAACCATACAAATCTGATAGACTGTAATAATGGCAATGGATTTACTGTGCTGTGAACCAGGTTCACGCACACGATATGCATACAAAGATCGTGTTCTACTAAAAGATGACAGGGTCCTTAAAAATCTACTGGCATCCGAAGACAAATACCTACCAAGTTGTAGTTATTTTAAAATAGTTCAAAAAGAAATAGAACCGTATATGAGGAGAATGGTAGCGACATGGATGCTAGAGGTAAGTAGTGATGGGTCAACACCGGAATGTTAGCGAATATTAACTGATTTCATGGATTTGTTTTAGGTATGCGAAGAGCAACGGTGTGAAGAAGAAGTTTTTCCTTTATCCATGAACTATTTAGACCGTATTTTATCAATGTTACCGATACGGAAATGTGAACTGCAATTACTAGGAGCAGTATGTATGTTTATTGCTAGTAAGCTGAAAGAAACAAATCCATTAACTGCGGAAAAACTATGCATTTATACAGACAACTCAATTACATGTGAAGAACTATTAGTGAGTATTTTATTGATTTCATCTAATTTTGGATATTTTTTATTTATATTATTTTTGTTAATTTATTGACATTATATCGCGCTAGAGGCCACACCAATTTAATGTGATTAACATTGTGGTGTATTCGTGTTTCTAGGATTGGGAACTGTTGGTATTAGGCAAGTTAAAGTGGGATGTATCTGCAGTTACTGCCTATGACTTTCTAGARCAGATATTTAGTCGACTACCCTTAGACCAAGAAACCGCTGAAGTGCTAAGAAAGCATGCCGCAACGTTCATCGCGCTGTGCTGTACAGGTATCTTAATCACTTCTAAATTTCTCAACCAGATCGTAGTTTGTTACCGCGTATTGTCCGATTACTGAAGTAGCCGAGACACGGTCCTGTATTAGTGTTTACCGATGGTCTATATCTCAAAGGCAAGATGTCAATGAGAGCAGCTCTAGACCGTCATCTAGTTTATTTAACTATGTACACCATTCGTCCTTTCATTAATGTATTTGATTTTTCTACAGATGATAAATTTTTACTATATACTCCGTCAATGTTGGCTGGTGCCTCAGTATGCGCGGCKTTTACAGGCTTAGGGATATCAGAGACTMACAAAAACACAAAATCCTGGACGGCAACCAAGTTGGCCGATTTATTACACAAGATTACTAATATTGAACCGGTAAGATTTGGGCATTGTATGGCAAATTCTATATTTTTGAAGTTTGATTTTTTTGCTGAATTGATAATATTCTGATAATACGATATGGCCATGTGGAGGGGGCGTGTGCGCCGCGCGCGGAACGTGGCKGAATGTCATAGTGCGTGAATTGCGTGGGCTGGTAATTTTAGCGCGAATTTAATTATTTTTCTTCTTGATAGTGGTAATGGCTCCAGACCTTTTCTACCTGCTTCTTTCCCTGCCGTTCGTTTAATGTTTCTTTGACTTTAAATTTATTTTTAGCTTCGCGGTAAACCTCATAATATAACACGCGTGATTGTCCAATCCGCAATGACGTCCAAAATGCACGTTTTTTGATTTTCTCTGTCGCTATTGTCATTACCAAACCAAAAGTTGTTAAAATCATAACATAATTTACGAGTTAGAATATATATTAGGTTAGCGATTTTTTTTTGTCGATTTATGAAACCATCGTTAATATGCCATGCGTCAAAGTTCTAAACATTTTAATATTGTTTCAAGTTGGTTGTATTAGTATGGAGGCAGCATTGTCAAACACTGATTGATAGTTTCTTTGTTCGCTACCCGTGCAGCAATGTCCAACTCTCTTGGAGTCGGGTTCATTATAAAGGGAGGCTTTTTACRTTCTCTAATAGTTAAACCAACCCATGTGAAGAACGATCAAGCACTATTTGCCTTTCTTGAAGTTCGCGTGAACAAGCGTGGACAAGGTTCGAATGAATGATCATGAATTCGATTCATGCATTTCGAATGTTTCTGATATATAACCAACCAACAAAGACAAAGAAATAATGTTTATTCAAGTGAAGAATGATTGAAATAAAGAAATCTCGAATATCACATGGAAATTCCGARAAGATGCGGGGTCAGTAAAAAAATAACCTTGAAAGGTCCGCATTCCTTTAGAATCACGGGGCTTACTTAGCTCAAGTATGCTGTACTGTCTCTAAGGCGTTAAATCGGTATTTATTTGTGTAAGTTTGTTAACACGCGTACTTGTGTTTAGTGACAGTGAATACTTGACGTGCTGGTATTCAACACTCTAGGGATTGTCCATTCATAGATACATAATAACAACACTCGTACTAACATGTGCTGGTCACAATTAATACTGCTATACTTAATGCTCAGACATTACTTGCATCAAAACACCTTAACGGAATACCATTTTGAATGCAGTTTAAGGAAGATTTTGCTAAACCTTGACCGGTTTGTCTATTGTTCAAAGTGTTTCATTGGAAGTTATTAGCGCGGTGTATTGTGGTTTTCTTTGTGTGACTATTACAATAGTGGAATTAATGGTACATCAATAAACCAAGTTAAGGCCGATTAGGAGTGTCCGTTTTATTGTGAAATAACTAAAAATCAAGTCACAACTAATAAAATAGTAAAAAAACTCGGTTTTTATATTGAGAAACGTTTTAACAAATACCGCGGTAAATACCAAGTATCGCATGCAGTCAGAAAGTAGAAAAAGATTGCGTTAAAAGCAACAGAAGAAATTGAAAACGCGATGTTATAAGTTAAAAATTTCAGCAAGTTTTATTCTTTAAGTAACCTTTTCGATGTGGTTCAGCAGTTTTGCCAACGTAAAAAAACGAGCAGGTGGAAAACGTCAAGGACAATCGTATCTCAATCTATTCATGAAAGTGATGTTTCACAAGTCACTCATAATCTTTTACTTCGCTTTTCAGGAATGCTTAAAAAGTTGTCAAGATCTAATGGAAGAAGTCTTACATTTAAGCGTTAATTTAGATGGGACGCGGGGAAAAAAGATGGAAACGCCTACAACCCCAAGTACTCCAACAGACTTACAGGACATTCATTTTTAAATCCTGAATTTGGTGTGATGCGCCATTTGTATGAATTATAGACTACGGTGTGAGTGTGTGTAAATATTTTAATAAAACGGATTTGACAACAGAATAATTTGGTTTGACTTTTTTATCTTCTACGAACACCTCTTTATTATGGACACTTCTGAATTAGGCCCGCTTCTATGTTAATATGACAGTTTATATCGACAAATATCGGTTCCAGGCACCTCGATRTTATATTTCTATTTTACGATTTCATTTCGGGGTCGTCACATAGCAAAGAAGGTTTCCACATGTTATCAATGGAAGCCATTTCAGTGCTGATCATGTATTCTACCCTGATCTGATCGTCAAAGCCACAACACTCGTGCAGTGATATTCGAATCTAAAGAAGCCATGGAATGTTGCTTAAATTGTGGTTTCTGCTGGAAGTGATACTGCATGTTACCTTAATTCTAAGCCCAGAACTCACGCAAAGCTATTCGAATGTAAAAAAGCCATTTGAATGTTGATACAATTGCGGTTGATAGCCTTCGATGCGTCTTGATATGATACTAATAGATGACACCACAACATGCGATACACTAGTAATATGTTACAATGATGTTTCTCGTGGTTACTTGCAGTCAAATCGATACTTTCCTGACAGGATACAAATATGGAGCGCAAGGAAACCATTCAATTGTTCCGATTGAGATAAATGTCCGACCAAGCCATTACTGACTGATAAGCCATTGAAATGCAATAAAGCCATTGAAATGCAATATGGAAAGCACGCAAGGAAGCCAATATATTGCACAGTTTTCAAAAATACTTCTTAATGAAATTGCTATTAAATATCAGCACCATTCTTCTAAAATGTACAATTAGAGTCACAGTGCTTAGTAATGGAGTGTTTCATGTTAAGTGAGGATTTAGATATCCTTAATTACACAACGAAACGTGAAAAAGCCATTAAAATGTACAATGATAGTACAAGGTTCCAATATGTTGCAATTATGTGTAAATGAATGGATATTGGTATCTGTTGCGCCTATATACCTGATGGTACCATCGACTTGATAGCATTATCAAATATACAAAAACCTCACCACAAAACGCAAACAATTTTGTCAAATATCGTACAGGACAAAGACTAACACATCTGAAAAACGACAACAGTTCTACACCAGATGCTAAAAGGCTGTAACTTGGGTAACTCAACTCCACAAGGATTGCTTTTTCTAGTGGTAATAAAGGTTACTAACCCCTGTCAACGGACAGAACAACGTGGTAGTTGGTTATTGTCGTCAGGCTACTTTGTTAGATCTATTAGTGATGGTACTGTCAGCCGGGATGGTTGTTTATCTAACGGATTTAAGAGGTACTACTTAAATTGAATATTTCTAAACGACCTCCCAGCACAAGTAACCTAAAGGCGGCCCCTAAAGGCATGTAACTTGAGGTTATCGCCTATCGTCAAAGCAATTACTACAGGCCAAGGTTCAATATCTCGTGCAGTAAACTCGTCATTAAAAGCAGATATTTTACTCTACAAAAACTACAACATTGAGCATAATATCAGATTGAGAACCTAGTAGTAACTATACTTGAAGAACAATTCAACGCTATGTCCAACACTGAGTCAATTAGATATGGTGTGGATATCTACCTCGCTGGACCTCAACCAGATCGTGGTCAAAGATTATTCGTAATATTCAGTACATATTTGATGGACATTTACGTGCAGTATAATCGTACACAATTGATAAATAATGGTACTGTCACGTTCTTTTTATTATGTTTAATGAGAAGCAAGTCAAAGCTGAGCCTTCAAACCGAACATAGGTTTTCTAGTTCGCTTCTCGTTTTTGAGCGCGATTTATGCAGAAATTTAGTTCACTAAAGCGAGATAACAATTTATCAAGGCTGAAATTAGTACTCATACCTGGGTGTAGAATGAAAATGCAAGATATCGGATTCTGATCAAGTACCTTCGTCTGACTCAGTCTGAGCAGAGGGGCGTGGTCACACGTGGTGTTGAATTATAGAAATACTAAGTGAAGCAAGCTGATAACCTGAAGATGTAGCAATCTTATACGAGAAACAAATGATTTCCGTCAAGCTGTAATGATTTAAACAGGGAAAAGAACACTCAACAAACGTTTGATTACAGGGGACTGGTAATAAACTGCTTTAACTACTTCACCTGAGTTCGACTCAAGGTGAGATGAACGAATAAAAACAAAAGGATTGAGTTATTTGCATGGAATTAATCAACAGATCAGCTTCCGATGTCTTCATGATCGCCTCACAAACAGCCGCACATATCCACGAGTAGCAAACATATGGGAGTAACCGCCCCTCTCCCTTCCAGAGAGTAACGCCCTTATTTGTAAACTTATCTTTGCTGATAGTGTGCGTGCTCTAATGTAATACGCATGCTATGGTACAGAGTTACCAAAAGAACCCGAGATATTTGCTGGTTGTGATGATAGATTATAGTAAGTGATGAAAGAATTCAAAGTTGCGTGCTACATGTCATTTCTATCCAACAAAGAATTAGACATCAAGTCTTGGTCTCCAACTGATTTGAATGAATGCAATGACGGGTTGAAATATTAGTGAAGTAATAAATTGAAATGTATGGTTGACTGCTAGGYTCGTTTTCCCATGACTTGATTGGATGGATAAATAAGAACAATACCACTGACAGAATTGATGAATACTTCGGGCTCATACCGCGTGCGAAAGGACAATAGTTGGTATGCCAAAGTATGTCATCAGGCCTTTCAAAATACTGACATATTTGTTAATAGTAATCATAGGCGTTCAACAGCATCATTGCTTGTATTGTAATAATATCAAGTTGAATTATAAAATAACATTTGAAGCGCTCTTTTGAAACCAGCTTCTGATTGGTGCCTTACGCTTCAATAAAATTTGATAAGTTTGTGAATAATATGATCTTGATCATACAAGACATCATT